CTATTTTACTACTACCCATAAGCATTCTGCCTGCAAAACACAGCTATGTTTTGAAATTCTGTATCTTAATGAATTAAATAATACATGCAATAGCTAAAAGCAGAGGATTGACAAGACAGCTTATTATACTGAGGTGAGGTAAAATGCTTTCACTCACCTTTCCTTTTGACAACTTTTGTATACTTGCAATGCCCATTCCATGCTTATTTTGTAAATAAAAAACAATCCATATACCCAATCTGACAAAAAAAGATCTCTGTAAAGGTGGCACTTTTGCAATTTTGGTTTCAGAGCTAACTCTCAGAAAAATGAGCAATGAGAATAGAACTGAAGGCATGACATTTGATAAGAAATCTTTATGTAAGCACTGCTTACAATAAAAAAACAAATTGCCCTATTTTTTATTCTCTTATCCAATAAAATACTCTTTAACATGTTTAAGAACATAATCCCTCAACTCAGTGTGTATTTCTTACTTTAATATGTGAATCACAAACAGTACCTTCTGTAAGGCAAAGACATTCCCATAATTAAATTGAGCAGATTAATGAAAGAACACTCACCTTGAAAAATTTTGCCTTTAATGTATTCATCATCGCTCATCACATCTGTCCCTGCAAATCCCATTTCCTATTCTATTCATGAGGTGCAGCAACCTGGAGCTTTAGTGATTACCGCCACACTTTTCCCATGGCCTTCTCACCTCTCATCTAACCCCTAAGTACCCCATTCCCATTGTTTATCATCTGTTCTCTTCTCCTGGAAACTGCTGTTAGAAGTTCACTTATCCCTAATCTTGCCTGCTGCCTTTGATATTCTTTCTAATCCAACAATCTGTCAACTGGGGCATCAACCCATGTCCAGGCCAGCTGCTCTCTCCCAGGCTTCATACAAAATGTTCAGAGGATTCTGATCCAGCAAGAAAAACTTGAAGCAAATAATTAATGTTGATTCGATCAGAGCTTATGACTTTAGTGTGCTATTAAGTAGAGACTGAAGAAAACTAACCTTTTAAAGTTTGTTTAAACTTGGCTGTTAATACATTAATGAAATTCTGGTCAATGTGTAAAGGGACACGATTAAAGAAAGTAAATTCATGAGAAAAGAGAGAGGAAACCTTTTGAACTAAAAAAAGGCAAAGAAAACTATGTTCACATGCAAATCTGCTTATACATAGAATGTTCTTTCTTATATGCAGTTTTAAAATGAAGTTTATTAGCAAGCTTCTTCAAGAAAGCATAAGGTGAGAATAATAAACATAAATAAGCAGCTAAGTTATTTTACTATAACTATATATCAGAAAGACAGGAGGGCAGACAGTGGATCTTTGCTCTGTGATTTAGAGGTAACATTTATTGATCTTTTGTATCCTAGCAGCACTATGACAAACAGATGGTCCCCAGATAATGGCCAATGCCTGTGTTCAAGGTAACCTGGTATTTAGCGGGAAGGAAGGGTTCACATATTCAGGCCTGCTGTGAGAAGTATCATAAGACATTTATTGGATAAAGTTCTTCAGATCCACTCAAAATTAGATTTAGACAGGATACATTTATATGAATTTTGTCCTGTATCTGCCAAATGGTTGACCCTATACTTCCCAAGGAAGTAGACAGGATCCTTGGGACTATTGACTTAGCTACCTGCTTATTAAATCCATCCCTCACTTGGTTAGTTAGGACTGGTTTGGCCCATGAGGGGTAAGTGGATCTTTGAGTGAGGGAACATTTTTGCCTATCTCACCTTCTCCCCAAACAGCTATTTCTAGACCCAACATTGGCAACATCATTGATCATGATTGTCAATTATCTTTGATGAAGCTGGAATGGTATTGGTACAACCAGATGGTCCCACTGTTCTCATTCTTCATTTTTCAGGAACTTTATAATCAATCATGGTAACCTTCTGGCCAGACTACAGGGATTGGGATTGGAGACACAATGTTACAGTGGTTCTCCTCTTTTCTCTGTGATTCTCCTCTTTTCTCTGTGACTGGTTCCAGTTGGTTTGTGTATGAAGCCAAAGGCTCTTGGTTTACATGATGCCTCAAGGCTCAACTGTCTCAGCCTTCCTGATCAACATTTACATGAAGCTGCTGGGTGAGGTAATCTGTTCATCAAGTATTATCAATATGCTGATGATATCCTACTATATGAGAGCCAATTTGGTGTCATGGTTAGGCAATAGGCTAGAAATTAAGAGACTGTGACTTCCAGGCATGCTTAGGCATGGAGCCAACTAGGCGACTTCAGACCAGTCATCTTCTCTCAGACATAAAAGCCGACAATGGGAAATCACCTCCAAAAATCTTGCCAAAATTGCAGGAATTAGTCCAGACAGTCGTAAGGAATTAAAACTGACTTGAAGGCATATACATACACACATACATTCTTGTTTTCTACCTCAACTCCGGATCAAGAAAGTGATGGTATCAAGGTCCTTTCTCAGGTACATTTGGTCAGGGAAGAGTAAACTTAAAATGAAAACTGAATAGCTGTGTATTCCTGATTCTTCTGGGACCTTGTTTTTTCCATCTTTATTGCTGAATAAGAGTCTTCTCTCTTATACAAAACTAAAGTGCAATTTGGAGGGCCTCGTCCTTGATTACTGATGTGTAATTAAACAGAATTCCAACTATTATGAATCTTATGATTCTCTGTATAAGAAAGCAAACTTTCTGCTCTTTTTATATTCTTAATAGCATATATTTATGCAAGAAACTACTGAAGTCTGCATTTATTCATCTAAGGTATTTAGCAACAGTCCTAGTTGTAACCATTTGAAAAGCTGAATCATAATAAAAGTACACGAATGCCATTTCATTCTCAAGATTTGATTTCACTAATAAGCAAAGGTGTTATGAAAATCTATGAAGTATTAAATGAACCCAGAATATCTTACAGAATTACAGATATTGCAATATACAATTTTAAGTCCAAACTATGATACGGCAGAATTTATTCAGGTGAAGCTATTCAGATTAAAAAAAAGTTACTATATATGCTTCTAAAAGGTAAATGATTCCATTTAGAGCCCTGGTAGATACTAGAATTGTTTACTTCCTTTCTCAAGGAATCTTTCAACTGGGATATTCATATACATTGTATTTATAACAGAATCAATAAGCTAATAAGGGAGGCTAAGAATTAATCTCACAATTTAAAAATTGAACATGTGCACAGGGTTTGTACATGGCACTAATTCATGCTTGGTTTAATAGTAACATATTAAGTTAACTAAATCAGCTAATTTGACAAAGCATAGTTAAACAAAACCAAATAAATTTTAATATAAGGCTTGAACCATCTCATTGTTCATAAAGTAATGTTGGTTATATTTGAACAGACTTAGCATAATATATTAATTGAGTCAAAAACTGGCTGGGTTATACATGGTTTGCTGAGTTAACTACAATTGGTTGGGTTCAGAAAACACACTAAGCCATAACTCAGTATGTTCTATGAAATCAACTTGATTCATAGCTTAATGTACTGTGTGATTCTAGTCAACTACATATTTTACTACCCTATTATTCACTGAGAACCTTGTCCCCACCTGACTTACTATTTGATAAAGAAGAAATAATCTTTCATTCTTTCAATAGGTTTATGTAACTGTCAACTCAGGTCTTAAAATGGTAGCCATTTTGCAACTCTGCTGTCATAATCATACCAAGCTGTTTTATATGTACCGTATTATTAACCTAGCAGGATTATTCAGGACAGTATGAAAAAGGGGGAATAGATGAATTTTAACAATTTTAATATGACCTTGAAATTAATCTTCACTAAAGCAGATAATTCCAGTCAGAATTCTATTGAGAGGGCCTTCTCTGTGGGGGCACCCACCCTCTAGAACCAACTGCCCCCAGAGATAAGGCAAATCCAAGACCTCGGTGCCTTCCACCGAGCCCTTAAAACTTTCTTTTTTCAGCAAGCCAGGCTGGCTTAACACTTTTAAATGTTTTTAACTGGTTTGTCATTGTTTTTTAATTACGGGGCCAAATTTATATGTATCTTTTTAATAGTATTTTAATGTTTGTAGTTTATGTTTTTATTTGGCTGTACACCGCCCTGAGTCCTCAGGGAGAAGGGCGGTATATAAATTTGATATAAAATAAATAAATAAAAATAAAATTGTCCCAATCAGCATTGTATTTTTGGGAACAATTGTTGGAAAAGTATATCAGAAGATAGGGAAATAAATTCTGGTTGATACTCCCCATACACACATATATGCTAGTTGTGTTGCCCAATGCAGAGCATGTGGATATAAATTCTGCAGTAGATAAAGTGCTGAAATAGTTAAATTTGTAGAGTGGTGCAGTAGAGAAGTCCCTACTCACTTTCTGATCTCAAACCATCCCTCAAACATCTAGAGGACCAGAAGTTATTCCCTTATTCCCGAATTTGCCCATTTTAAACATAAAAATACTGAAGCACGCTCAAGCGAAAGGACACACAGCAAACTAGCTAATCCCACAGAAAGGGGGTGGGGGGTGGGTGGCAGGCTCCCTGTGCCTGTGTTCAAGGGCAATCATTGCAAAAACCATTTAGCTAAGTAGTTAAATGTGAGTAAGTAACTAAGTAAAGGTAATAATACGCTCTTCTTGTTGTGGGAAGGGCTAAAAATTCTGCCTGCATTCGGAAACGCTCGATCCCTTTTTCCTAAGGGGAAAAAAACGGGCAACCCCATGAAGAAAAAGATGCTTCGGACTCGGTATCCACAGGCTACTCTACCGGCCTGCCGAGTCCATTCCTGGGCCCTAAATTCCCGCCGACCCTTTCCGCCATCCAGTAGCAGCGACTCTTCACGAGGATAGGAAATCCACCCTAACCCTCCCGCCGCCTCCCTAGCAGCGCCTGCGGGAGAGCCGGGAGTAGGCCTTTCACAGCAGCGGCTTTGCGTAAAAGAGCGCTTCGGCGAAAGTGGGCTAAACTCGGCGTTCCTGAAGAGAAGGCAGCGGCTCCTCCCGCGGCCTTCTCACCCAGCCTGCTTACCTGGCGGTATCGGAGGCGAAAAGGCCGCAAATATTGGGAGGCGACGCAAGGTCCGAGAGCCAGTTCCTCGATCGATTCCATGCCGGATGCCGCGACTTCAGCCTCGGGTGACGGCGCGGGGTTAACCTTGCAGGGAAGCCGAGATGGAAGGAGCGGAAAGAAAGAAGGGGAGCGCGGGCAAGAGAGTCAGTCGGCGGGGAAATGCATGCGAAAACTATAGAGAAGAGCGCGCACTGCCCGAGGGCTTTTCCAGCGGCTTCCCTTTTCCCTCATCTTTTCCCCGTGTGGATGAGTGGAGTCGGAGGGCAGTGGATGCAGGACTATGCTCTCTTCCTATGGAAAAACTTTGAATTCAAGGTGGAGGACAAGGATGTCATTAAAATCCTTCTTTAAGAGATAAAAGCTCGAGGGGGACCTTATGAAGTACTTTGCACTGCACCCCCACTTTTCATTGCAAGAGAGATAGGGCTGTAAATGGCACATATATAGCAGTTCTTAGCAGGTTTATCTATGTGATCAATAGCGATTGTGAATAAATAACGGTGTGATGGCAAAATATCAATTTCAGGGAGGGGAGGGTCCTTGATGCTCTCTGAGCTTGGCTGTTTTCTTGCAAACGTTTCATGACCCACACTAAGTAACAACATCAGTGCTAGTTTCAGAGCACTCAGAGAGATTGAATGATCAAATGATCATAGCCAAAGAGAGGTTCTGAGTGCCTTTTTTGGACTAGATAACAACAGAAGAACAGAGTTGGAAAGGACCTTGGACGTCTTCTAGCCTAACTCCCTGCTCAAGCAGGAGACTATACTATTTCAGACAAGTGGTTGTCCAGTCTCTTCTTTAAAATCTCCAGTGGTGGAGCACCCACAATTTCTGAAGGCAAGCTGTTCCAAGTCCACCCCAATTACATTAAGCTAAATTTCCTTTATTTTTGACACAGCAAGCATGGCCATGATTATTTATATCGTGTTTTATGATTTGATATGTGCCATCCAGGCAGTTGTGGTTTGTTCAGTATGTTACACTTAAGAAACTATGTCTTATCAGGCCATGATAATTCTACATCATCTTTACTTCATCCTTGCAAAATTGACGAATATTATTTCCAAATTATGAAGAAAGGGTTAGAAAGAGACAGGCAGAGAAGTCACCATAAAGCTGCCATAAATTCTTTACTGGATATTGATAAGGATAATTGTCCAGTTCCTTTTTATTCTATTTTGTGTCTTCAGAGGAAATAATTTTGCACATATAATCAACTTCTAAAAATTAATGCACCCAAAATGACTTGGTTTTGAAGTTGTTACAAATTAACCAAATTGAACAACCCTGCATAAATCTTTTTATTTGGAGGAATGTTTTAACATTTGCATTTCTGCTTGTTTTAGTTAAGCTAGTAATAGCAAGGAGCTTTCCTAGGTATTAACATCCTTTACCAGGCAAACCTTTAGCTTCCAAAATTTCAGCATTTAATTGAAATATAATGATTAACTAAATTTCTTTCTGGATGATTGGGGGTGGAAAAGAGTTGCTGAAAATACCAGGAAACTGAATTTTCATCAATATCTGTTTTTATTTTCCATCTTGTGGAATATATTTAGCCCTATTTATGTCAGTGCAGAATTCCTATTAAAACACTATTATTAAATAAGACATGTAAACTTTTCTGAATATTGTCCATTCACTTTGGACCAAATCAGATCCTTAAGTGATCTACATGTCTGGTTCATTTTGATATTATGGTAAGGTGACCAGATTTTAAAATTGGTAAAGAGGGACACCATTGTGGGTGTGGCTTATTTTGTGGGGGTGGCTTGGAGGTCATGTGACTGGTTGGGCGTGGCTAGCTGGTCATGTGACCGGGTGGCCATGGCTATGTGTATAGGGACTACTCAGAGGGCTGAAAAAAGTCATTTCTGACAGGTCCTCGCACTTTTGACTGGTCCTCACACTTATGACCATCCTCACATTTATGCCCGTGCAGCATTCTTAACAACCGTGTCACTCATTTCACAACTGCTTCTCTTCACCATAATGACAAGATAAGGCAAAAATGTAAAATGTGAGGACAGTCGTAAGTTCGAGGACTGGTCAAAAGTGTGAGGACCAGTTAAAAATAACTTTTTCAGCCCTCTGAGTAGTCCATATGCATAAAAGGATGCAGCAATAGAGAGGGATGAAGGAAGGGAAGGGAAATTAGAGTAGGAGTGAGGGTAAAAGAGGGAGGAAGAGGAGGAGAAGGAGAAAGGAAGAGGAAGTAGGGAGGAGAAGAAGAAGGTGGGGGGAAGAGAAAGTAAGAAGGAAAGAAAAGAGAGAGGTGGTAGGTTTGAGGAGAAAGATTGCTGTACAATAAAAAAGATGAAAGGGAAGAAAGCCAACCCCAAACAAATATAAAGATATTAAGGTAAAGAATGAATTGTTAAACTTTAAAGAATAAAAGAGAACAAATATGAATAAATAGCAATAATTAGAAACACACATACAAACATACAATGTATTTTCTTTGAACAGAATATTTGGCTGGTTCACAAATTTAAACAGTGTTTAGTCATTTCAATTAAATTTACAATTTCTATATTTCCTTTTTGCCATATTTATTCCTCTTCTATTTTTTTAAAAAAAAACAATATTACCCTTCATCCTCATCTCTAATCTTAATCAATTTCAATTTTTCCCTTCTATTCTATATTATACCCCTTCCCATTGTCATCTATTTTTATATCCATCCTCACATTGGTTAATTATGTAATTATGTAATACAGTTGTTTAATACAAATTCAACATTTTAATATAAATCAATGTTATATAACTATCTTTTTTGTATATTAATCAATATGAACATGAATATTCCAATTATTTCCATGCAATCCAATTTGTTACAAATCAATTAATTATATTTACCAATAATAATAAACCAAATAATTTCCCCCATATATTCCTCCAAACCACAACTTAACCATTTCTGCTTTCAACACAATATACAATTAATAGTATCTCAATTATTACAATTCCCTAGTAGTTAAATAGAGCTTTTTTTCTTTTGTGTTTTAAAATCTTGAACTCTCCTCTTTTGCCCTAAATTTCCCATTGTTTGCACCTACCTTTTTTGGTGAGGAGAAAGAAAAAGAAAAAGAAATCTCTCTCCGTGCCTCATTTTGTCACGTTGCACCCTGCTTTACTTTCAGTTTCCTTTTAGCTAGGGAAAAAAAAAATCTACTCCAGCAGCTTGCAAAACAAAAGCTTGCAAAAGAGCCTGCGCGCAAAACAACTGAGAGCGAATCAGCTGAGAGTCGGAGGCCGATTTAATCATGCTAATTAACCTATGCTGAAGCTGTAAGGGGCTGTTTTTTCTATTTTTGCATCAGTCTACTCATTTGTTTTCTTTTAACACTGATCACCTGTAGGGTGGCCCTTTGAAGCCCCGCGGCAAGAGTTTAAACAGTTTTTTTCCCTCTAGCCATCAGCTGGGACTCAGGAGGCAGAATGAAAAATCGGGACTTTTTTAAAACGCCGCGGGATGCGGGACAAATTGCTAAAAATCGGGACTGTCCCGCCAAAAGCGGGACGTCTGGTCACCTTATATTATGGTTAAGGAGAAACTTTAACTTTACATTTTAAACTTTACAAGTTTAAACTTACTGGTTAAGGAGAAACTTTAACTTTACATTTTAAAGCTATGTAACTTTGAGAGGAAAGGAGAAACAAATATTGCTCTCCTCTGTGCTATATAGCTCTGTGCTCTGTTTCTATAAAGAATAGACTCCTATGTCCCACTTTCTTATGAAAATGTAACAGTATATGTTTAATATACATACGGGTACAGTAAGTCCTCGACATATCAACCATTGAGACGGCTGTTAAGTGAATTTTGCCCCATTTTACTACCTTTCCTGTCACAGATGTTAAGTGAATCACTGCAGTTGTTAAGTCAGTAACATGGTTGTTAAGTAAATCTGCCTTCCCTATTGACTTTGCTTGTCAGAAGGTTGCAAAGGTGATCACGTGACCCTGGGACCCAGCAACTGTCATAAATATGAATCATTTGCCAAGCATCTGAATTTTGATCATATGGCCCTCGGATGCTACAGTGGTCATAAGTGTGAAAAACAGTCATAAGACACTTTTTTCAATTCCATTGTAACACTGGTCACTAAATAAATTGTTGTATATCAAGGATTATCCGTATATTTTTCAGGGATGTATGGAGAGTTTTACATTCAGGGATGGGATGGGCTTTTCTCAACACTGATAATGATTTTGGGATTCTTCCAATCCTGTGAGTTGTAGCATGAATAAACTGGAGAATCTCAGAGCATCCTTCACCAAGAATAAATCACAGGATAGTAGAAAAATATAACATTTAAGCCTTGAAATAGAATTTCATTTTTATTCATTATGTGCCACTCGATTTCTGAATAGGCCAAGCAAGTCACAAGGAATGACAAAGTAATTAAATTATTAAATTATTTATTTGAAACGTTTGCATCTTGGAATTAAGAGCCTCTTCTCAGATTACAATCAGGAATAAAGTAAGAAACCAATAATCTAAACAAGCACCTGATGTTTTGTCAATCGGACAGAACATTCAAATGCTCCAAAATACCTTTTTGAAAAGTTAGATTTCCTTGGCTCAGTAATCAAGAGGTAGCTGGCCAGTTATCTGGAGGTAGTTTATTCCAAAAATCATAACTGAGAAAACTTGAGGATGGGGTCCTCCAAAATCTAGTATCCTTAGCAAGTCTCCCCAATTAGAAGACATCAGTTAGAGGAGATAGAGAAGGAAATTTCAGAAATAGCTAGGCCCTGAACCAGACAGGGTTTTATAACTAGCACCTAAAAGCTACTGGTAGATAGTGCAGCTCCTGCAGTAGTAAAGTTAAATAGGTTAACCTAGGTCCGTGATGGCGAACCTATGGCACGCATGCCACAGGTGGCACGTGGAGCCATATTGTTGGGCACGCGAGCCTTGCCCAAGCTCAGCTCCAGCATGCATGCGCGCACTGGCCAGCTGATTTTTGGGCTTTCTGGGCCCACTGGAAGTTGGCAAATGGGCTGTTTCCAGCCTCTGGAGGGCCTCCGGTGGGGTGGGGAAGGCTGTTTTCGCCCTCCCCAGGCTCCTAGAAAGCCTCTGGAGTCTGGGGAGGGCAAAAAAATGGGCCTACCGAGCCCACCATGCTGTCACAAGCCAAAATGGGGGGGGCATGGGATCGTGCGCGCATGCATTGGGGGACAGGGCGCCTAGCATTATGGGTGTGGGCACTCACGCGTGTGACTACCCCGCACTCCCCCAGCTTTTGGCACGCAATGGCAAAAAGGTTAGCCATCACTGACCTAAGTGTACCCAACATTACACACACTATTGGATCAGCCAAAGCCTCTACATAGTCTTCAAGGGTAGCTGGTATATTCCTTTCCCATATGTGGTGACTTTCACTTCTGATAATGTTCTAGAAACGGCACAGGTCAGCCAAGCATTTAGCACAACTGTAGTAAAAAAAAAAAAGCTACCGGTTCAGTCGAACCGGTAGTTTAAAAGCTACAATCCGACGATCAGCTGTGCCATGCAATTTAGTTTTGCTACAAAG